AAACTTCGTTATTTTAAATACAACTCTATTTTTTATGATATAAGTCGAAGAGTTTATCATAGAGTTTCCTATACCTATCTGGCTCAGATTTGAAATAAAAAGCGATTTTTCAATAAAATGTTTATCAAGATGGCTGGTGTCGCCATGGCAATTTGCTAGTGACAGTTAGTAGCTATTTTCAAAATCGACATTAGATTATGGACTTTATTTAACGGTTTACTTTTATTTAATTTACCTACAATAGTTTAATAAGTAAGTATTTATTATTTTATCAAAAAAAATAAAGAAGTAGCTCTTTGATTTATATTACGATGACTTGTAGATATATTGGATTTTCCACAAAAGAGCCAATTAAGGCAAATTTATTTTCTTCACTTCCAAAAGGTCTGCGAAATAGGAAAAGTAGTTTTTCAAATTAGCACTTGTCAAGAAAATTCAAATTTGGATATCTTTGAGCATAAACCCTTCAGGCCAACAAGCAATTGTCCTCACAAAATAAAATCACTAGTAACATATCCATTCCTTCCGCCAGCAAATACTGCTTCATTTTTCTTTATAAAATAATGAATAATTACTTATTAACTTTATTGTAGGTAAATTAAATAAAAATAAGCTGTTATAAATTTAAATAAAGTCCACAAACTAATGTCGATTTTGAAAATCGCTACTAAGTGTCACTAGAAAATTGCCATGGCAACACCAGCCATCTTGATTATAATTTTATTGAAAAATCGCTTTCTATTTAAAATCTGAGCCAGATAGGTATAGGAAACCCTAATATAGTTCGAAAGAGCATTTAAATCTGCTTCGACTTATTCAAAAAAATACATAGTGTTGTATTTAAAATAACGTTTTTATGTAAAATAAATATTTAAAATAGAACAGCAATTTTTGATACCCCTGTATACATTTAAGGAAGCAATAATTTTTTTTTTAGTAAAGTTTATTTCACTGGCTTCAAAGTTACCACAAGAATTAACTCTGAAAAGTAATGTACAGGGTGTTGACAAACTTTTTATTATAGCATGCATATTTAAATATCTTTAAATATCTCAAAAACTAAAGCTTTTAAATATATTAAACCCTTATAACAAATACCTTATTTTATGTCCAAGAATCCAAAAATGAAATAAAATACCGGGTGTTCCATAAAAAAAATATAACTTTGGTTTTGATCTTAGTTCTGACACATCCTGTACATTTCAAAATAATTTTAAACTATGTACATTACCTCTCTACATATACCCATAAAATATTTTGTTTCTACATCTTTCCGTTTTCGTATAATCAACCGAGGCGAATGAGATGCGCCACCCTGTATAATTACTTCCAGCGTATTACTTTTAAATTTTTTATATTATTTGCAACGTTGGAAATTGTTTAAAAAATTATTTATGAACGTTTGAAAAAAATAGCATGTTTTATTCGGAGTAAGTGTAACCTTTTGTGCTTCGCCTGTAATGTTAAACGTATAGCCTCGCCACAAAATGTATCATTTTTAATCCTTATGAAACAGTATACTATTGTCCTTCTAAACAATAGAACTCGCCATTTAATATGAAATGATAGTCTAGACACTGAATATTAACACTGAACAGGTTTAGGCTATATTTTTAACTAGTTTGATTTTAAAAAGAGCTTTTCAAAATTTTAAAGTAGTAGTATTTATAATTTTATAATCAGCGGTTCCCAATCAACAGGTTACACCCCCCCCCCCCGGTCCTTTTTCATAGTCCAATGTCCTTTTTTTACTTTGCAAAAAGGTGGCAACCCTAGTTCTAACTAACATTTCAACTGAAACATTTGAATGTGATTTGAAACTTTTTGAATTTTTATGTCTTTACTGATCATTTTATATTATTTATTAACTATTCTACAATCGGTTTTGTTTAGAACTAGTAAATCTAGAAGGAACTAATATCAGAACTTAAATTAACACTGACCTTAATGCGATTTAACGAAAAAGACAGTAAAATCCTTAAAACCGTGCACACTAGGGTTCAGAACCGGGAGATCCCGATTCTTTTGAGATATCCGAGAATCGAGGACCGGGAAGCATTTTTCCGTTTCCTATACGGCTAGCGCAACCGAAAACGGACTCGATACCTGCAACTCCGTTTACTAAGTGGTCATCGCAACCCATGCAAAGAAACGCTTGCAATGAACTTTCTAGGTATGCTCTATTTGTAGTCACTTAGAACACAGAAAATGGGATACTCAATATTACTTGTAACCACTACACTATAAAACTCTAAGAATTAAGATTTAAACAATTTAATTTGACAGTTAATCAAATAAATAAAGTTACAAAAATATTATTCCAACAATGAAAATCATAATAATTCCATTCATTGATTTATATAGGGTGGATTGCGGTAATTGTAATGCCATGTACGTATAGGTCAAACAGGTAGAAAGTTAGATATAAGGATTAAAGAACATATAAAATCTATTAATAATTTCCAGCAAAGTTCCGGTCTAGCAACTCATTGTATATTAAATAGTCACACAGTTAATGAAAACTCAATTAAGTTATTAGATAGAGAAACAAAAGGCAGATGCTTAAATTACCTAGAATAGTTAGAAATATTTAAATCAGCTAATAACGACAATAATGTAAACGACCAACAAGGATTTCTAAACACATTTTTTATTACACCTATTGTAAACTCCTTAAATCCACCACCATAGCAAATATATTAGATATCATTAAAATGTAGTCAGACGGTTAGTTTTTAAAAAACTCCTTAAAATTCCTAAGTTACTCCTTTATTTTTTTTGATACATCTAAAACCGTGTTTTATTAAAATTCTAATATTTCAACGATGTTTCACAAGGAACCAACCGCCGACTCAGCAATATTTATTAAAAAAAACAGATTGACATATCAACTACATCCACAGTCTCAAAGCTGTGTTGCCAAACTACCTTGTCAATATTAGCAAATAAAACGTTAAAAGTTTCCTATTAGATTTATCTCTCAATTATGTGGCTTTTTGTTGAATCCAGAATAAAAATACCTCATTATTAATTTAAATTTATTAAATTTAACACCTATGCAGGTTTACCTGTCATAATAATAATAGTATGACTCATTATAATAATATCATTTGCATTGGTTGCGTTAACCACTTAGTAAACGGAACTGCAGGTCTCGAGCCGTTTCCTATGCGATTAACGCAATCGGTTGCGTTAGCCGTATAGGAAACGGAAAAATGCAACCGGGAATCGAAATTATTAATTTCCGGTTCTTTCGGGACTCCGTAATAATAATTAAAAACATATTTTTTGTTACGTGTGAAAGACTTTTGATACTTTCTAGCGGTCGAAATCAAACTCTTCTAAATAGGCAATGATTTGTTACTACTATCTCTTACTGTTCTTACTTCTGAAGTTATTTTGAAATTTCTATAATGTTTATTAGCAATTATTGAAGTTTATATATGTTATTTTACTATTTAGTATAATATTGCTGAGTGTATTAGTTATATTTTTTGTATTATGTTTTTATAGGAATTTTTAATTGGAAGTGTTAAGTTCTTTTTTCTAATTTAGTTAAGTTGGTTTCGAGGTTGGTTGATGTTATTTGATGTAATTTTTAAGCTACCTAAGTGTTTTCTTTTTTTTTCACTTGTGTTCATTATTGGTGTTCATGTTTACTTTCTCATAACTTAATAGTTTGATATTATTTTCATTTAAAACTCAATTTTTTATCGGTTTTACTTTTAAGAACCATCACTTGCTTGCTAATTGATGAACTCCACAATCGTTGAACTAAAATATTTATAGTACGGTTCTGAAAACTCTAATTAATACTACCAATTAGGGTTCAGATCTTTTTGGCCATCATTGACCTGGGTCTCGGTAACAATAATTAAAAAATTATTTTTTGTTAGGTGAGAAAATTCTTTGATACTTTCTAGCGGTCGAAATCAAACTCTTCTAAATAAGTAATGATGCTATTTCTTATTGTTCTTGCTTCTTTTCTCTTTTGAAGTTCTTATAATATTTATTATTTATTATGTTAGTTTTATTAGATATTTGCATTTTTGATTCAATATTTGAGGGGTTTTGTCTCAAATTCAGTTAAGCTGGTCTATGTCGTTTGATGTGAAATTTAAGTTACCTACACTTTTTTCTTTACTTGGGTTCATGATAATTTTTTCATGATCGATTACTTAATAATTTGATATTATTTTCATTAAAAATCTTATTTTTTATCTATTTTACTTTGAAAAACCATCCCTTGCTTTCTGATTGCTGAACTATACCACCATTGAACAAAAATTAGTCAGTACCAAAAAAATCGGAAAATCTCGGTTCCTAAGAGGCGCGGTACCGAAATTCCCTGTTCCGAAAAACAACTCCGGTTCCGGAAACTCTAGTGCACACACAGGTCGGCTCAAACTCGAAGTGGAAGCGTCTCGAACTTGGAACGAACCTCCCTTGACTCTACTTCCTACGTAAATAATAGTAGGTCCACGAACGGGGCGTTTGGCGGTCGACGCGGAGTCGAAGTGACTAATACTATTATTTACATACGAAGTTAGTGTGGAGGGGGACTCGCTCGATCAACCAGCCAGGAAACGTCACAAAAAACATTAGACTAACAAATTTATTTTTCCAAGGCTCCTTGATTAAAATTAGTGGTTTTAACACAGCCATAACACTCTGGATTGAAATTTAAAATACTATTTTTTGAATGAATGTCAAAAGTAGATATATGATATGCCATTCTATTCAGAATATAATTTTCTATCAAATGAAGCAAAGAAATATCGAGAGTATTTAAAAATCAAAAGTTGTAGTAATTTCCGGTGAAGCAGAAAGTGACCGAAACTAATTGAATATGTCAATCAAACCTGATTTATGCATATACTGATATACGAAATTTCCTTTTTCTACCTGAAGAAATAAAAAAGTAACAGGAGTGAGCCACTTTTGAACAACACCGTATATATAAAATAACTTATTTAAAAATGGAAATAATATCTACTTACCGGATATTCATCATAACGAACACTGAATGGGTAATCTTCATAATCATCATTCGTTCTGTCAGGTATGGCAGACTTTTTTTCTAATGTCGAATCAAATGGTACACATATTGCAATGTTTACCAAGAGAAACAATATTAAACATTGGAAGACGACTAGGGAGACAGCTTTGGTCATTATGTATGTCAATTATTCTGATGACTGGGAATTACGTATCTGAAAAGAATATAATATAATTTAGTAAAATAGTTTCCTGTATGTAGTAATTCGTGTTAGAGATTAATTAGAAAATTAGATTATCTTTCAAAAATTTCGCTATTAAATTGGTAATATCCGGCAAATTACAATATTTATGAATACAGTTTTGTTTTTAGTGATAGGCCGGCTAGTCTTGTCAGCTTGGTCGTGTACAAGACCAAAACTAGCTTTAAATCTGCAGGACCTAAGATCAAGCCTGGCCAATGCAAGACTTACGCAAAACCAAGGCTTCAATTTATGTCTTTCGGTCGAGCATTTTTTAAGCGTTTTTTATTTAAATCTCATTTTGCATAGATAATTATTAAAAAAATTTAGAAATAATATTTATCTCTCTCCCCTATAATTTATTAAATAAAAAATAATAGAAAACGTTGCTTCAAAACTATTGCCAGTGAAAATGTAATTTATGGTAGTAGTCCCTAGATACTCGTATACTATTAGTAGTATACTATTAGTAGTAATTTTATAAAACTAAATTTAGTTTCTTCCGCATCGTCAGATGGGGCAAGAGAAATTATAGATTTCTAGTTTATATAGGGTGATTCACGGCAATGGCACGTTAGACGTTTATGAAGAACAAGGTGATTTGGAAGAATTTGGAGAATTTTTTGGAAAATTTGGATTTTTACATAAAGGCACCTGCTCCATCTTTCTAAAATATTTTCAGCATTACAGTGTTGCCGCATCATTCGAAAAGTGGTAGCATCTTTCTTATTTTAAAGAGGGAACACCCAGTATATTATTACATTTTTCGGAAACTACTTTCATATCTCATAATTTTTCTATTATACTAACATATACCTATCTCTAATAGTTTTTTAGATAAAAAATAAAAGGTGTAAAACTGATAAAAACTTGATCCTGAATAAGCGTTGGTAAAATCATGAATTACACATTTTTAAAATTGAAATTTTGGTTATAAGTTCAAAAGTCGATATATTCGATCTGTCTAGATTATTCAAATCTTTGTTATTTTAAATTCCACCTTATGAATATTATTCAAAAAATCAAAAGACTTATAGAATTACTTTTCAACAATATATCATGTTCCTATACCTAAACCTTTCGGTTTCTTAAGTAGATCTTTTTAAAAATTAATAATTCTATTATTATAGTTTCATTTCAAGAATTTAGTTACCATGAAAATTCCACGCCTGTAATGTTTAACCAATCAAAACGTGTTTTTTGACAAATCACCATGGCAACGGCTAAATTTTAGTGAAAATTTTTCCTTGTGGACACCCAACAGCGAATTATACTGGAATTTTTTTGACGTTTATAATGGCAGAATATCTTTTTGAGAATCTGGTTTTTATTTGTTTACATGATAATTTTGATACATTTTAATTACAAAGCTGAGATAAGTTTGTAAACTGCTTCCATACGCTTGACTACGATTTCCTAGTATTCGCGGGTGTCAACTGCTTAATCTCCTGGCGAATATTTTCTTTGCTATCATGACCGAAGCGAAACATTTTTTTAAGCCGTGCCGCTTGACAGCTTCAAAACTGAAATAGTTTTTAGGTTTGGGTGTCACTTAGTTGTCATAGTAACTAAATAATCAATTCGACCAAAAATCGAAAAATACATTTTAATTATTTGATTTTCAAACACAATTTGGTGTGGAATTTTCTTACCGAATACCACACGAGGTCAAATTAAATCCGGACATTTTTTCTCGCTCATGAATATTTTTGAGAAAATTATCCCTCGTCTTCGACTCGGGATAATTTTCAAAATATTCATGAGCTCGGAAAAATTTCCGGAAATAATTTGACCTCTAGTGGTATTACTAGTGATAATTTTGATACATTTCAATTACAAAGCTGAGATGTTTTCTATATTCTGTGGACACCTCCTTTCTTCTTAATGGCGAAAATGTAGGACTTGGAATGGACTGAATTAAATGTCTATGTATAATGAAATTGTATAATATATAATATTTAGACACTATTTTATTCACCTTTTTTCCATTTGGTACTTTGAATTTTGAGTAGTTTAGATGCAAATATTCGTGAAAAATTCGAAACAAATTGTCTTTCTTCAAGTAGGAGCCACAATCCTCTATTAATGAGGGTAAATAAGTCATCGCACGATGATTATTCATTACATCAGACAATTTCACGCATATTTTGCATGTAGTATGATTTTCAAACCGATTCATTTTTAAAACAAAGAATTTTGTTGGTTTTTCAAGCTGCACAATATTCTTTATTACAACAAAACGCGAGTTTTTCTGATATTTTGAACTGTTTTGACGCTTGCTGACGCTGCGCGCTGGTTATGAATTCCATACGAATAAAGCGTTTATGAAAAGCTAATAAAAATGCAAAAAAGCAATTTTCTACTACTTGTAGTTACTCAAAACTTATGTAAAATTAAAGAATATATTGTGTTGTGTCTTGAGATTGTATTTTCGTGCAACTACAACGAGTAGAAGTCAACAATTTAAAAGTCTAGGTATATCCGCTCTGTCGAAATCATACGATTGTTCTGCGCAAAAGTTTGTAAACTGCTTCCATACGCTTGACTTCGATTTCCTAGTATTCGCGGGTGTCAACTGCTTAATCTCTCATGGCGAATATTTTCTTTGCTTTCTTGACCAAAGCGAAACATTTTTTTTTAAGTCGTGCCGGAAATAATTTGACCTCCAGCGGTATTACTAGTGACAATTTTAGAAATTTAGCACGTAAACTCCAATTGATACTTATAAAGTTTGAATATTTATCATGGCAACGATTTTCTTTAAACGAAACTATTATAATAAAATTATTATCTTTTAAAGGGCTTTACTGAAGAAACCAGAAGGTTTAGGCATAGGAACACGATATATCTTTGAAAAGCAATTTTAATTGTGTTTTGATTTTTTAAATAATATTCATAGGGTTGAATTTAAAATAACAAAGATTTGAGTAATTTTATAACAAACGGAAATAATTAATTTTTCTGACCTCCCTGTTTGATATCCAATCAGTTGACAGACAGATTGGATATTTTCACTTTCCTTAACCTATAAACCAAATTTCAGCTTTCAATATGCCAGGAGTTTTTATTGAATTCGTACTATGCCTTGTCTGATTCCCATATGTCCTATGGAGTGGCTTTGTGGGGAAACTCGACAAATTCTGTTGAAAGATTTTGGTTGCAAAAAAGAGTAATTAGAATATTATGTGGTGTTGGCTATCGAGATACATGTAAGCTCCACTTTATTAGACGAAATATACTTACACTGCCTGCTCTGTATATATTTAATTAAATTTTGGAAGTACATAAAACTAAATCTTATCTAACAGTTAACTCTAACTGTCATAATTATGGACAAGATCTGCCATCTAATAAGAACCAATTTCTATAGACTGGATAAATCAGCTAGAAACCTCTACGCATTGATTTATATAAACGTCTTCCAATGGAATAAAAAACTCTATGTTTTAATAAATTTAAATATAAGCTAAAGACATTTTTACGGAACTTAAATTTAATTTGATTTATTTGCACAAAGAAATCTAAAATTGTTGTTTGTCTTGTATGTATTTCATGTAACACGCTTTGCCTCCGTGTATTGTTTTTTTTCTACCTTTTAGTATTTTTATTAATTATTATCTGTTTGTTATTTATTCGGACCTGCTAATTGTATAAATATACGTAGTCAATGAAGTTTTGTTTATTTATTTATTAAATGGAAATTTCTCTTTCAGGGCTGTTGCGGAATTGAGAACCAAACTCTCGCTATTCGCTTTAGCATTAAAATTTGTTTAAAGGTACCAAATTTCAAGAAAAACGGTTTACCAATGTTCTTAAAAATAAACAAAATATTTTATTTTTATTTACCTTTTGGAAGGCTGTAGTTTCTTCGGGAAGCATTTTAAGGCATATGTTCATATGAACTTTTTGTTTTATTTTGATCTGAAGAATCGCCCACCGAAATTAGATACACTATTTTTTTGATACCCTGTATAGATTTTGTATTTATTTTTATTTAATTGATACCTATATTTTTAATAGCTCCAGTATTTTTTAGGATATGCCACATAAATTTTGTTACTTTATATTATCATCAACAAACATCGCTGTATAATTCTTGTACAATACTCATTAATTTTAGGTTGCGGAAAATTGGCGTCAGATGTTGCACAAAACACATAAAATGTCAGAAAATCGAAACGCAAAATACATTATCATATATATTATGTATGAAATTGACAATATTATAATAGGAAATAATTAAATGTCCAAATATGAAAAGATAGACTTGATTTTAATATTAAAAATAAAATAGTAACTTCATTTAATCATATATGTTTGTAGACAAGTAACAAATATAATAGATTTAAAATATAAAAAGCAACTATAAAACATAATTAATAAAGAGTGCCTATTAAAATTACAGGAAAAGCAGTAAAAGTACATTATTAATATATAAAATTTAAATAAGTTACTAAAAACAAAAGTAATTTAAAATATTTAACCGTGGATTACAATATTATTTTGATATTATAATCATATAATATACCGGGTGACAACAAAACCGTTGCACGAACCGCCATTTCATGACTTCTCCAATAAATATGAAATTTTAGTTTAACTTAATACTTCATGAAAACCTCAGATTTCCCACTAATATCACTTCCGATTTCAGTAGAAGTGAGCTAACGCAAAGAACTTTAAAAAATGTTTGTGTTTACAGTTATACAGTATGTCCCCGGATTGTCTTTAAAAGAAGAAAAATGTTTTAATTATTTAGATTTTGAGAAAAACACATTTTTTATAAAAATGTTTGCTTGTTCTAAAATGGTTAATCACGGTTATCTTTTTCGAATTTCACATACCGGTTTAGAGAAAAATAAAAAAAATATTAAAATATTTTGTCTGTGAGCTCAACAATTCAAACGCATTTCTATGGTAATGTCATTTAAAGG